CTGGTGGTCACCGACCTGCTGGGCACCTGCTCCGTCAGCCCCTTCGTCTTGGCTTCCTACCACCACAACCGCACCCTGACCGCCCTGGCCCCAGGAAGCCGCATCTGCCTCTACTTCGGCTTCGCCATGAGCTTCTTCGGCCTCGCCACCATGCTCATCCTCTTCGCCATGGCGCTGGAGCGATGCCTGGCCCTGGGGTGGCCTTACTTCTACGAGCGCTTTCTCAGCCCCCGCACGGGCTTGGTTGCCCTGCCCGCCATCTACACCTTCTCCGCAGCCTTCTGCTCCTTGCCGCTGGCGGGCTTCGGGCGGTACGTGCAGTATTGCCCCGGCACCTGGTGCTTCATCCAGATGCACCTGGACTACCACCAGCACAACAGCAGCAGGGGGGTGTCCGGGTTGGACGTCACCTTCTCACTGCTCTATGCCACCCTGCTGCTCTTCCTCATCCTCTCCGTGCTGCTCTGCAACCTCAGTGTCATTGCCAACCTGGTCCGCATGCACCGCCGTGGGCAGAAGCCCCGCCGGCTGGCCACGCTCGAGCAGCCCCAGGGGGCCGGCAGCTGCAGCCGGCGCATGTTCTCCATGGCTGAGGAGATCGACCATCTCCTTCTCCTCTCCATCATGACCATCATCTTCGTCATCTGCTCCCTGCCATTCACGGTGAGTGCGACTACCCCTCTCCTGGGCTGGGGTCCCTCTCCCCAGCACCCCTGTTTCTCTCCCTCCCTTTATAAGGCTCCCTGCCACTCCACTGCCCAAACCTCAAGGGCTGGGGTCAAAGCTTAGCTCCTCCTGAAGCTCAGGAGAGGCCGGGTCTGCCACAAACTCTAGGCAATGTGCATGTCCCATGGGGAGTCACCCCCCCCAATATCCCGAGTGCTGGCAGGAGGACGGAGTAGCAGGGGCAGGGGTGCCCTCCCACCTCACAGCAGCTCTGAGGCCAGGCAGGGCCCAGGGTAGGGGTCCCCTGGACCATGCAGCATCGCATTCCCAGGAGCCGGGCACTCATGGTGGAGGTGTGAGGGATGGCAGAGCAATAAATTAGACATCCAAAGGTGGGGATGAAGGAGATGACGCGGGGCTGGAGGCGGTGTGTGTCTGTGCTGGGTGGACAGAGTTATCCCAGATTTCCGTGGCAAGAGGGAAGGATGGAGCTGGAGATGTGGGCAGGCAGCACCGGCCTCACCATTAGACGGAGGCCTCTGCTCCTCCGCAACAATGCTGGGGCACGGGCACAGAGATGGGTGATTGCTGGGCACGGGGACCGGGCACATGGACTGCAGCGTGCCTCGTCCCAAGGGATGGTGCTCACATCCCGTGCTCCGTCCACGCGCGAGGCTTCCATCAGAAATATGGGGTCGAAACACCGCAGCCGAGTGAGGAAGGGGAGAGAGCAAGTCCCCCGACTCTGCCCCGTGCTCTCCCCACCAAAAGAGATGCTTTTCATCCGTCCAAGCCATATTACGTCAGCAGCATCGTGGACGTCGGAGCACCTCGAGCTACTCATGTCCCTGGCCCGTGTGCGTGAGCCCACCGCGGCGGGAGGTCATTTTATTCCCATTAGAAGCGAGCCCCACGAAGGTCAGGAGCGCAGCCAGCACTAATTTTGTGCTCACGGAGTTAAACAGATGCTACCTTCCCTTCATGCTCTCTTTCTTTTCCCAAGGGAAAAGAAAATAACCACGGGCTGTAGCCGAGCCAGGCTGCCTGGACTTTTAAGTCAGAGAAAAGACAAAGCAGTAACGTCCGGGCGATCGTCAGCATCCCGGGAGCCAGACTCAACATCCTGAGAGACACTTCAGCTCCCGTCAATGGGCCCACGCCTCCCTGTGTCCCAAAAAAAGCCGTGGTCGTTACAAAGCGGGATCCCTTGATGGGGACACGTGGGCAGGGCCCTACGGGTCTGCCGGGGGCAGATGGGATGGGAAAGTGCTGCTGACGGGGATCCCGTGGGCTTTGTGGTAGCAGATACAGTCTTATCCAGAAGCACAGCCGGCTTTTCCTTTCCCATTGCCGGGCTCCCATGTGGGGTTGCGTTTGGGCTGCGTTTTGGCAACATCTCAGACCGAGCTGCCGAATGCTGCCGGTGCCTCCTTGGTGTGACACTTTCTTTTTTGGCTGGGGCTGCCCGCAGCAGCCACCCTCCAAGGAGCAGCCCGGGCATGTGAACCCAGAGAGCATCAGGCCTCAGCACCGCAAAAACCTTCCCCAAAAAAGCCCCAAGCCCAGGGCAGCCCTCGGAAATGCTGCGCTCTTGGCAGCCCCAGCTACCGGCTGCACTGTGGCCACCTCATGCCCTGGGATGCACCAGCCCCGGGGGGTACCCAACAGAGCCCGGCCAGAGGAGGGATGCTTGTGCCTCCCATGCCCCCAGCTCCCATCCCCATCTGAGCATCCCCTCTCCCCCGAAGCAAGGGGGCGGCGATTCGGCCCGTGCCCCCAGCTCCCATCCCCATCTGAGCATCCCCTCTCCCCCGAAGCGAGGGGGCGGCGATTTGGCCCGAATGAGTAAGGGGTGCTGAGTCACCCTTCCAGGAAGCCCGGTAAGCTGCTATGAGTCGGCATGTCGCAGGAAGGACCAGAGCGGTCCAGGACCCCCACGTCCTCTCTCCATCTTGCATGTTCATTTGTCCCGTGTGGTTTTCAAGGAGAGACCCACCGCTTCCATGAGCAGCGCGCTGGCTTAATTGCGTTAGGGCTAAACGAAGTTTTGCTGTGTGCTGAGAGCAGAGCACAGGCCTGGCTTTCGTTAGCAAGAAGTTTGCTTAAACTGGTGGAGGCAGCAAGTGTGTGGGGACAGCCCAAATCTCCCCAAGAAGCTGCCCAGGGGCCAGCTCCTGGAAGGCCAGACCCAGTATTATTTCTCCCCGTTGTGTTTTACAGATCCGTGCCTACATGAACAAGTTCAGCAAGGGACAGGACAACCAAGACTGGGACCTCCTCGCCCTGAGGTTTCTCTCTATTAATTCCATCGTCGACCCTTGGGTCTTCGCCATCCTGAGGCCACCGGTCCTGCGGTTCATGCGCTCCCTGCTGTGCTGCCAGGTGACCCCCATGAGCCAGGACAGACGGACTCCGTCCCCCGCAAAGACAAAATTGGAAGCACGGCTGGACTCCTGTGGGCAGTAAAATCCATCAGCCTTTCCAGGAGACGTCTGCCAGGCTGGGGTGAAGCACGGCCCTGGCAGATGTTGATGAAGCTCTGCCTAATGGCCCATGAAGAGACGTATCTGCTGCAGGGTGGGCCAGCTACGGGTGGCCCGGCCAGGTGTCACCATGTGTCTGGGAAACCCCTGGAAACCCAGCGTGGTCTCTCACAAGGCAAAAAATACCGTGAGACAGGATCGGAAGGGCTGATGAGTACCTGGATATCGCTGTCACCCTTAGGCAGGGCTGTTCCCACCCAGCAAAGGGTGCAGGCTGTGTTTGGCCAGGGGGTGAAGCATGGGGGGATTTGCTATAACACTACTGCTGCGGGGCTGGTGCTGGGGAGCAGAGCTCCCTGCTGCTGTGCTTCCCAGCAAGGTCCAAGCGGTCATTTTGGGCTGTGGGCAGTGTGCAGGCAGGGGTACGGAGATGGGGCTGGGTGGCCACCGTTGCTGCAAGCACCCATCTCTGCCCTCAGGTCCCTAGGGATTGGGTAGGAGAGGAAAGGAGCAGTGTATCCCTAAATATTCCCCTTTATTTGGTAGGCTGGTTGCCTAAAGAAATGCACTTTATGGGGTGTAGGTCTGTGTGCATGTGTCTGTCTTTCTGCCCCCGCCCCTAGAGATTTTAGGCTCTGGTGGGTGTCAGCTCAGCATATCTGAGGGGCACCCTAGCAGAATAAAAGCCCAGTTGTGGCACTTCCCTGGCGCTGTGGTGGCCAGCGGAGCTGTGTCACCCCTCTTGAGCACCCGTTTTGCAATTATTTTGCCCCATGATTTGTGCAGGAGCCAGGGGAATGAAGACCCCGCCTAAGGAACGGGAGGTTTCGGTCACAGCCGTGCGCTTCACCCACGTCCAGGGTGATGCTGCTGATGGGTTTTGGGTTGGTGTGGAGGAAGGCTCATCAAGAGCCTCTGCTCATCCTCCTGCCAGCCTGGGACAAACCTGCTCAGGGGCATCACTTCTCTAGAGGGTTTATTTGAAAAAAAACCCCAAACCTGAACCCCCCAAACCCAACAAAACCATAAACAACAGTGCAGAAACATGCAGGTCATCAATCCTGCCCTGTCTGTTGGCATCCTTCAGTGCTGCCGTTTTGTTTTGTGGGATGTGTCTGCTTCTGGGGGCTCCGGGCTGGTACCCAGTGGGGTGAGGAGCATGCGACCCCATGGGCGAGCTGGGTTTGTCCTGAGGCCATTGCTGCCATCAGGGGTTGCTGGCTTGGGGCTCGTGGCTCCTGTTCGTGCAGCAGCCAGCAAACGTGGTATCGTTGTGCTACCGCACGTGGGGCGTCTCGCTGTCCGTTTGAGAGCTGTGGCTCTGCTCAGAGAGCCTAAAGGTGCTGAGATTTGGAGCTTTTCTGCGGTTCATTAGTTGAGGTGATGTAAAGAACAATAAAATATTATTATTTAAATAATAAATGTCTCTCAAAGGAGCCTGCTGAATCATGCGTGGGTTTGTGACGATGATGTAGATCTGGCTCCTGGAGGAAATGTGTTGTCTGCCTGGAGCATCAGTGGGGTGAAGCCTCAGGGATGGGGGGAGAGGGTAGGAGGGGAGGCTGAGAGGGGAAACGTCTGCCTACAGTTTCCTAAAAAGTGAAAATAAACCGTGTTTTATAGCTGTGTGATGACATTTTTGCCTTGCCTCTGCAACCTGGCCCCCGAGCTACAAGGAATACCCCCACCTCTGAGCTCTTCCCTAAAACTTGTATAGCCCGAAGCCAGGGAGAGGCAGGCTAAGCTCCTACCTGTTATCAAAATACAAAAAACCAAAATACCTACCCTAAAAAAAGGCAGAATTTAGGTCACTTTTGTCAGGCAGCCAATATCCACAGGAAGTTTACTGGCCTCCGAAATGTGTGTGGGCAGATGTCAGGCATGGGCTGCTATTGCTCAAGCCCTGCCGGCGGGCTTCTGGCAGCGCACGGCAGCTGGGGGGCAGCTGGGGGGTCTCAGTAGGGGGATTTTGGGGTGGAGGGGGTTGTGAGATGTGCCTTGCATGTGGGGCTGCAGCTGGGGTGCTCCCCACGCTGTCTTGTAACTCGTGTTATTAAGTGACGCTGAGCCCTGGCTCTCCACGTACTGCTCCGAGGTCACGGTCGCCCCCTCCCCATTTATTCCCCCATCCGTGCACACAGCTGTGGCAAAGGCACTTTCTGGATTTGGGGTTTGTGCACCCCGTTGCGTCTGGCTGGCTTGAAAAGGAGCCAAAACCTTCAGGAAAAGCCATGGGTCCGTGTGCTTTATTTGTCCGGATGGTTGTGACCTGGTTGCTCATGCGGGAATTTTGGGATCAGTTGCCTAATCCTCTTCTAAGCCAGAAGGAAAGGCTGCCTGGCATGCAAAAGATGGAAAGAAAAGAAAAAAAACCCCAAACCATCACATTGGAAATGGTGGTGGGGGGTCACACCCCGCAGAGAACAGCCTGCCGAGGCATGTGACAGCGATGGGAAGAGGAGCCAGGACCATCCATGGCAGCACAGGGGACAACCCGAAGGCGGGATGCTCCCAGCAGATCTCACTCCAAGGATCCACTCCCGCCGGCCACCAGCTTGGCTGCTGACCACTAATTGCTGGCTGCTTGTTTTTTTGGGAGGTCTATGGCTCCTGGTCAGGAAATGCAGGGCTGGGAGACAACCTCCCAGCATCCATCCCACTGGGATCTGCTTTTCATAGGGTAACGCTGTGGCTGAGCCCCTCACATGCGAGTGGTCCCCAGTAAGGGCCAGCAATCCTGAAATTTAATGCAGAAAATAAAAAAAGAGAAATTGGCTATGAGCCGGGGAGAGGCTTGGTGCGTGCGAGGAGAGGAACAACCCCCCCCCCTGCCCCGAGACCCGAGTCCCTTTGCCGTGATGCGTCCTGCAAAGATGGGTCCCTTGCCCAGAGATGCTGTGGGACACCACTCTGCTTGGGGACCCCTCTACACCCTGCTCCTCTGGGAGGGCTGCGGTCTCAGCCCCCCTCTCAGCTGCTTGCCCATGGCTTACCCCCGTCCACTGCTGTCCTCCGAGCCCAGAAAACAAAAAAAAAGCAATCAGCCCTCCTCCTCCTTCTTTCAGATGAGAAAAGAGCCTTAATTAGAGCTCTGCCGGGACAAGGAGGGCCATGAATTTTTCTGCATCCTGAGCAGTGAGCCTGCACAAACCACTGCTTTTATTAGCATCACACAGGAGCCATTACAAAAGCCAAATTAATTTGACTCTCTTCAGCTCAATTGACGTCTGCTCAGCTTAAACGCAAGATGCCAAAGTGTCATTTTGTTGTCTGTGCTGACCCTTAATGATTTTTTTATTTCCATACTGTGGAGCGGAGCCGGAAATCCGCTCGTGCAAGAAAGCGCCAGGCAGGTCTTGACATCTGCATTTCCATCTGGAAATCAAGCTGCTGAACAGGAGCCAAGGAGGAGCCACCCTTTGGGGACAAGGGATGGCATCAACTGCCCACCAGACTTCTTAAAAAATGGAGAGGGACTTTCTGCAGCTGGCGGAGGGACCGGGGAGCTGCGGGACCCGGGAGATCGGGACCCTCCCAGAGCAGCCTGGGGGGGTGGCTCCGAGTTGCACCCTGCAGCAGTGAGGAAGCCAGCATCTGCATCTCCTTCTGGGCTGTCTCCCTTAAAAAGAAAAACCCAAAGGGCCCAGGCGGTGGGATATGTTTTGGATGGGAAATGATAGTGATGCAATGCAGCATTTTGGAGAAAATGGACATTTTTGGAGAGTACAGAAGAAAGGAGGGGAGCTTCCCTCTTGCTTGCTCCTTTTCTGGCTTGCTTGGAACATCTCTCATGGATTTGTGTGCTGTCAGCAAGGAGCGGGCCCTCTACAACTGCCTGACAGGAGGGTGTAGTGAGGTGGGTGTTGGTCTCTTCTCCCAGGTAACGGGCGATAGGATGAGGGGAAATGGCCTCAAGTTGTGCCAGGACAGGTTTAGGTTGGACATTAGGAAAAATTTCTTCACCGAAAGGGCTGTCAGGCTCTGGAATGGGCTGCCCAGGGAGGTGGTCGAGTCCCCATCCCTGGAGGTATTTAAAAGAAGGGTAGATGAGGTGCTTAGGGACAGGGTTTAGTGGTGGGATGGCAGGGTTAGCTTAACAGTTAGACTTGATGATCTTAAAGGTCTTTTCCAACTTAAACAATTCTATGATTCTATGATTTTCTGGCTGCTTTGGCCTCCTGGCGTATCCCAAGTGCTTCGGCCACGGGTCCGCCACGAGAGCCCTCCCATCCCCATTCATGGGGGCCAACAAATGTGGGCAACATTCGGGGACAACCTGCAAAGGTGGGTGATGCAATGTGCTGCCATGCGGCAAAGCCCCAGCATCCCTGTGGAGCGCCTCTGGGATTGCTGGTCCGGTCCTACGGGAGGCTGGAAGGAAAGCAGAGCCCTGGGAAGAAGGGGAGAGCCAGGCAGGAGGCAGCTGCCCTGCCGGGGCGGCTGCATTTCTGGGCAAAATGGGCAGCCAGCCCACCTCCCCTGGCTCCAGAAGGGCATGTGGCGCGATATCTATTAAACTGGATTAAAAGAAATGAGGCAAGGAAGTGACTTAAGGGGAGATGGCATAGCTGGGCTCCCACACCAGCTTTGCAGCAGCGCCAGGGCTTACCTCAGCATCGGATGTCAGCATCCGATGACGGCAATTCCCCACGGCTCACGTGCAGGGAAAAGAGGAGAAGCATTTGGCTTTACCGTAGCTGCCTCCTGCTTTTTGCAGCTGCTTTCAGATCTCTGCATCCCCATGTATTAATGTGAAATCTTTCCAGCTCCTCTGGGTCCCTCGGGTCACCCCCCCAGCTCTCATTTCCCTGGATTCACCTTTTTGGTCACTGGGAACTAACACCGTCCGACAGCATCCCCAGCGGGGAGAGCTGGCAGTTAAATCAGGCTGTATTTTAGCTTACAGCCAGGTAAGCAAGGGTATCACCCCTTTCCAGGGAGGCTGCTGGGGTACCCCAAACATCAAAGGCATAAAATCACCCAACACCCAGACCCAGAATAAATAATTCGTGGCCCATCCCC